GATGCCTTGCTTCCCACCTCCGTGCCCCTGTGCTGTGCTGCCATCAGGCTGGGACATGCTGGGAAGTGTTGCAGCCCCCCTTCCCCTTGCAGGCTCTCACTGCCAGGGGCAGTCTTTGTCCCCCATGGTGCCAAAACAGAGAGAGGGAGGAAGGGCTTTCCTGGTGGGACACGGTGGGGGTGGAGGGGCTGCAGCAGAGTGGTGCGGAGTGGAGTGCAAAGACAAAGGGGTGCTAGCAGCGCTGTCTGGGGAGGAGCAGAGAAGATGCGAAGGCAGGAGAGGAAGGGAGAGGAAGAGGATGTGCCCGGGTTAGGGCTGTCTTGCCCCAAGCCATGTGCTGCCTGCTGAGACCCAGGAGTGAAAGGGGCCCCCACAGAAGTTTCTGTCCCTAGGTTTCTGGCTCGTTTTCTGTCCCCAGGAGGCCCCTGTGGAGCATGGGGACAAGGGTCTTGTGTCTCTGAACAGTTGCTGGACCCCGACAGGGGCAAAGCTGTTACATCCTGGCACAGGAGGCCCGGGGACCATGAGGGAAATCTCTCCTGGCATGAAGCAACCCCAGCTGGGCTGGGCAGAGGCAGAGGGAGCAGCACAGTGGCATTGACACCTGGATCCCAGTGCCTGCACCCCCCCACTCCCGCCCTGCTCCTTGTGCCTGGAGCTCAGAGGGGCTGGGGGTCTGTTTTACATCATTGCCTTAGTGCAGCCGGCAGCTCCTGCGTTTCCTAATAAGAAGGGCAAGAGTTGTAGCCTGAGTGCGGGCAGCCCTTTGGCCAGGTCCTAAATCCCCTTCCCAGGGACCACCTCTTGCTCCATGCGCCCTCAGCCCTCACTCCTAATGCCCGCTGATACTAGCGCTTAAAAGCAAGGCCTGTCTCGGAGGCACATGAGGTCTCTGCTGTGAAACCTCCTGAAGCTGGGGGAAAGCATTGCCTTGGGTCTGACCGCACTGCCCGGGAGCACCGCTGTTGTCCTGGTGCAGCGCAGCCGGTCCGGTGTGGGGTTGTGCGGGCAGTCTCCGCCACAGCTCTTTCCAGGGCTGGGCTGTGTGTGTGTCCAGCTCTCTGCTGTGGGCATGTCCCAGCACTGCCACGGCACATTTTTTCGCTGCTCAAGGCCTGGAGGCTCCCCTGGCATGTGGAAGCAGAGTGCTTGTTCCCCTTGGCAGGGAGGACAGAGGCAGGGGGAGCAGTGTAGTAGCAGCAACACCCGGTGCCCGGAGCTTCCTGGCGAGACACCCCGCTGCTCCCTGCCTGTGCCCCCTCCAACAGCGCTTCCCACTTTGTGCCCGGGCTCCGAGTGTCACAGGAGCTGTTTACTGTCGTCTTCTTCGTGCAGGCGGCAGCGCTTCAGTCTCCTAATCTGAAGGTTGCAAATTGGAGTCTCAAAAGAGCAGCCCTTTTGCCTGCCTCTAAAGCTCTGTCCTGGGCACCACCTCCTGCTCCATAGGTCCTCATCTCCAAGGCCCGCTGATAGTAGCACTTGGAGGCAAGGCCTGAGCGCCACTCCTGATCCCCATGGGTCCTCAAATGTCACAGTCCCCAGCCCCCTCGTAGCGTCTTGCCCCACATCTGAGACTGTGCAGCCTGGCCTGAGCCACATGAATGGCAAGAAACAGATGCCTTGGGGCGGTGCGTTGCTGCAGAGCAGGATGGCCAGGGGAAGAGATCCTTCTGCTGGACCACTGCCTCAGGGAGGTACAGTAACAAAAGCATAGTCAATAGGAAAGGAAAAGCCACCACATTTGGCTCGGTCCGGGAGCTTCTGCTTCCCTGGGAGTACGGGGCTCCAATAGGCCTGGGTGTTTCGGGGGTGGGAGCAGAAGTGAGGAAATCTCTACGCACCTCCTGCAGCTCCGCTCGTGCAGCCAGGGCTGGAGAAGGGGCTAGGCCGGTGGTTTAGACAAAAGCCTCCTGGAGCCACCACCATGTTCCCACACTCTGTCCAGATGCTTCTTTTTTGCTCCTCCAGGCCATGTTTCCCACCTTCCCTAAGGGGAAGGGACTGATGGGAGTTAAGTCGTTTCTCAGGTGTGCTCACTGCGGAGTCCATCCTGTATATTCCCTCGGGCACGGCACTGCCACGTGGCCTTTGGTTTCCTTTCTCCCAATACTCCGGATGCCTTTGCACTGGTCCAGGACAGGCAGACTCTGTTTCTAGGCTGCCTGTCTTACCGCATTTGTCTCTAGCACACTGGGACGACCTCGGGGCACCTGACGGGATCTCATCTTTCAAGTGCGGACTGTCCAAGGTCTTGTCTGCTCAGTGATCCACTGTCCAAGGATTCACTCCGTCAAACCACTTCTCAGGCTTGTTCAGTGTCGAGTCCTCCCTGCTCATCCTTGTGCTTGTGGCGCTGGCACTGCAGAGCATCCTGCAGAAGTGTCCATGGAGCGAGTGGAGGAGCAGGGGCAGCGCGCACCTCTCCCTGCATGGGGTGTGTGGACAAAGAGCTGAGACATGGATGTTGGATCCCACCTCATCCCCTTTGTTGCCCGCCTCCAACTGAGCCCTCCCAGGCACGGAGAAGTTCCTGGCCAAGCGAGGACTTTCAAGGTTTCCATGTACTTATGCCCCAGGGCCAAGGACCCACAAAGGCGAGGCAGAGCTCAAAGGCCAGCACGACCCACCACCAAATCTGCCCGCTCCCCTCCCCAGGCACTGGCACAGAGTTTGGATGAGGGGACAATGGCAGCTCCCTCTGGGGTCAGGAAACACATTCCCACCTGTCCTGTTTTTGCCTGTAGGCTACGGGGGTCTCAAGAGGGTTTTGTGCAGACGCTGGGTGTGCACCTCCCATTGCGTTGTGCAGAGCACCATCAGTCCTTCTTGTCTTTGCGGAGATGCTGCCTGCGAAGCTGGTGACATGGTTTGGAGCCTGTGCCAAGGAGCAGGCTGTATTTCTAGGACTTCCCCGATGGTCCAGGGAGGGAGGTCTCTGGTTTCCAGCTATCGGGATCTGTGTTGCCCAGCCTGAGGCAGGAGAGCTGCTCCCGGCTCCAGTGGAAATGGAAGAGCTGGACTTTCTCCAAGACCGCAGCACTTTGTTCCCAGGGGAAGTCTTGGTGTCCCCTCTCCACGATTGCTCCTTTCTCTTCCAGTCTGCGCTTCGGTAAAGCACAGAGTCGGAGACGCTGGTGCTGGGCACTGGGGGGAAGGGAGGGGGAGGAGTGGGGCGCTGCGCTTCTCTGCTTGCTTGCTTCTCCTCCTGCTCCCCCCAGGCCTGGGGAGCTGCGTGGAGGGGCTGCTGGGACTGGTGCACGGGGCTGTACGTCTCTGTCAGATGCTGTGGCGGGCTCAGGGTGTTGGGTGTGCAGGGGAGATGCTGCCTCCCCTCCTCCCATCAGGCTGGCACCAGCAGCATCTATAAATGACTATTGCGGCTTGCCATGGCCCTCCTGCCACTGGTTGTGAATCAGTCCACCAGGACAAGGCACGTTCCCCTGTGTGTCTGTCCTGTGGGAGCAGCAGGCAGGCAGAATGGGGAGGAGGCACTGGAGGAGCTGCAAGCTCAGAAGGAGTCCCCTTGCCTGGGGGTTCCCAAGACGAAGACCAGGACGTGCAGGCACCTGTCCCGTGGTGTGGGGCAGCCTAGGGCCTGCCTTGCCCTCCTTCTCAGGGGCTGAGGCACTGTCTCGGGCTGTTGAGGCTCTGAAAGGGGGACAGGCCTTGCACAAGGCAGTAAGGCTGTCTGGTGAGTAGCTGCTGGGTTCCCTTTCCTGGGCGCGCCCAGGCTAGGGATTCGGTTTGTGGATGAGCAGGACCAGAACTGCTGCCCTCTGTGAGGCTCAGACTGAGGACTCTGAGATTAGGAGACCAATGTCCTGCATCACATGATAAGAAACAACTCCCTTCATGACTGGCCTCAGAACAGGGCAAAAGAGCTGCCTTCTCTGAGGCTCAAACTCAGGACCCTCAGATTATGAGAAAGATGCACTGCCAGCTGCACTAATAAGGCACCTACTTTGGCCTTCACTCACACCTTAGATGCCCTGCCTATGCTGCTGTTTGGCTGCAACTGGGAGCCTGGACATGCTGGAAGGTGTGGGTCCTCCCTGGCAATACGACCATTCACTCAGGTTGCGCCCACAAACCAAGCAGATACCCCAGTTAGCTTTTCCAGCTGGCCCAGCATGCCAGAAGGACCCATCTCTCTGCTCTAACATAAGGCTATTTGGCAGGGAGAGGGGGAAGGCTGTGGTGCCAGAGATGGACTAGCATCCCAGGGTGTTACACCCAGGGTGTCTCTGGGTCCTTGGCTCCTCTTGTTCTTTTCCAGACAAAATCCAAAGCAAGTTCCTGGGCATGAGACATGGTCTATTGTGATTCTACCAATCAGGGAATATTCCCCAGACATGATAACAAGCTGCATTTCACCAAGACAATGACCTCATACTTCCTGTTAGGGTGACAATAATTTGGATTATTAGACAGCACTGGATTTGCAGCTGAATACAAGGCATGACCTGTGGCCTAGCAGAGCTGCTGACCACAAAGCAGGGTGATATCTAGACCAGCCATTTACTTATGCTAAGTAACCATTTTTACTGTGCCAACCATTTTCTGAGGAACAGAAGGCGGGACAAAGTAGGAGTGAATGTTAGTAAGTATAAACCAGTGTATAACTGAAAGGAAAACCCATTGTTTGGAGGACCCCGTCTCTAATGGCGTGAGGCCCCTTGCCCGAAGCCATCTCCATTCTGAATAAAGCTGTTGCGAGCAATGTGTGCTGGTGTTTGCTCCCTGCTCGGCTCTGGCTAATGAGTAACAGGATTCACAAGAACTGGACTGTCGTCTCCCTAGTCTTTGGATGCCATATGGAGTCGGGGGTCTAACACTTACTGTGACCTTACACAGGAGGCAGGACCTGCCACAGCCTGTACCTCCTTCCCCCAACCCCCATTTCCCTAAGAAAAGGCAATCTATAGCCCCCTGGCCACAGGCTCCTTCAAAAGGGCTGTGCCTTTGCTGCACAGCAGTACACAGGAGTGAAGCCTTCAGGACAACCAACTCTTTTTTTTTTTGACGGTTTGCAACAACCCCTGGAGTGGTGAACACTTGGCAAAGGGAAGAGGCTGGGAACCCAGAGAGATCTGCCCTGGAAAGGCTTTTGGGCTCTTCTCAATTCACATCTCAGTTGAGGAGAGGGCACAGAGCCCAGCCACAGGGATACCATGTTCATCACAATCGCTTTCTGATCAAAGACTGGATTACAGAGAGTACAGCCAAGGGCAGGAGGGCAAGGGAGTGATGTGCACCAAGGCATGCATAACTCTGGAGGGAGGCTAAGAAGCAAAACCTGACAGATTGATGGGAGAATATGGCAAAGCTCTTCCCACACACAAAGCAATAATGTAGCTTTTAGCCTGTGGGGATGCACTGGTGGAATGCCAGGCTGAAGGTGTGGATGAAGCTCTTCCCTCACACAGATCACTGATGTGGCTTCTCCTTTGTGGATGCACCAAAGTTTGGGCAGGTTGGAAGAACAGGTAAACCACTTCCCACATTCTGAGCGCTGATTAGGCTTCTCCCCTATATAGATGCACTTGTGTTTGCTGAGGCTGCAGAAATCACTGAATCTTTTCCTGTGCTCAAAACAGTGATGTGGCTTCTCCCCTGTGTGGATGCAGTCGTGTTTGGTCAGGCTGAAGGAATTGCTGAATGTCTTTCCACATTCAGAACATTAATGTGGCTTCTCCTTTGTGTGGATGCGCTGGTGTACGGCCAGGTGGGAAGACTGGGTGAAGCTCTTCTTACACTTGGAGCACTGATATGGCTTCTCCCCTGTGTGGATGCGCTGGTGTATGGTCAGGTTGTAGGAACTGGTGAAGCTCTTCCCACATTCAGAGCACTGATGTGGCTTTTCCCCTGTGTGGATGCGCTGGTGTATAGCTAGGCTGGAGGAAGAGGCGAAGCTCTTTCCACAGTCAGAGCAGTGATGTGGCTTTTCTCCTGTGTGGATGCGCTGGTGTATGGTCAGGTTGTAGGAACTGGTGAAGCTCTTCCCACATTCAGAGCACTGATGTGGCTTTTCCCCTGTGTGGATACGCTTGTGTTTGGTCAGGCTGGAGGACTCACTGAATCTCTTCCCACAATCAAAGCACTGATGTGGCTTCTCTCCTGTGTGGATGCGCTGGTGCATGGCCAAGGTGAAGGATCGGGCAAAGCTCTTCCCACACTGAGAGCACTGATGTGGCTTCTCCCCTGTGTGGATGCGCCGGTGCATGACCAGGCTGGAGGAGTAAGTAAAACTCTTCCCACACTGAGAGCACTGATGCGGCTTCTCCCCTGTGTGGATGCGCCAGTGCGTGGCCAGGTTGGAGGACTGGGCAAAGCTCTTCCCACACACAGAGCACTGATGTGGCTTCTCCCCTGTGTGGATGCGCTGGTGTTCGGTCAGCCTGGAGAATTCACTGAATCTCTTCCCACACTCAGAGCACTGATGTGGCTTCTCCCCTGTGTGTATGCGCTGGTGCACAGCCAAGTTGGAGGAGCGGGTAAAACTCTTCTCACACACAGAGCACTGATATGGCTTCTCCCCTGTGTGGATGCGCTGGTGTTTGGTCAGGTGGGAGAATTCACGGAATCTCTTCCCACACTCAGAGCACTGATGCACCTTCTCCCCTGTGTGGATGCGCTGGTGTTCGGTTAGCCTGGAGAATTCACTGAATCTCTTCCCACAATCAAGGCACTGATGTGGCTTCTCCCCTGTGTGTATGTGCCGGTGCACAGCCAAGCTGGAGGAGCGGGTAAAACTCTTCTCACACACAGAGCACTGATATGGCTTCTCCCCTGTGTGTATGCGCTGGTGTTTGGTCAGGTGGGAGAATTCACGAAATCTCTTCCCACACTCAGAGCACTGATGCACCTTCTCACCTGTGTGGATGCGCTGGTGGTTGGTCAACCTGGAGGATTCACGGAATCTCTTCCCACAATCAAGGCACTGATGTGGCCTCTGTTCTGTGTGTACGTGCCGGTGGTTAGCCAAACTGGAGGAGCGGGTGAAGCTCTTCTCACACACAGAGCACTGATACGGCTT